TAATAGTGGTATTAACCGGGCTTCCCTGTCGGCACATAGATACTATCCTATCACAGACAGCATTGTACCTCGCCTGATCTGGATATGTTCTTTTTGACAATGAATGCAACACCATTCCTTTTCAATGTGTCATACCTGGCATAGTAAACCATGTGGTTGTCAGATTCAAAATGGCCAATACCAGTCCATTTCAGACTGGCATAGTGGCTACCACAACTGTGAGGCTGGGGCAGTGTTTTGTTTTGTTGTATATAAGGTCCCTGTGAATTGGATAGCCCCTAACAACAACTAAGTACCCAAACTTATGCCAAATGCTTTGGATACTGTAATGAACAAATGGACCCCTGCCCTCAAAATGCAAATCTAAACTACAGTGAGCTATCGCGTCACTTCCACGAGAACGGCTATGTTTTTTTTTAGAAATGGTAAAACAAGGAGAGTTGGAACTCTCATTCATTATTGTTGTTAAGTGCTGTCGAGTTGGTTCTGACTCATAGTGACCCTGTATAGGGCTTCCAAGGAGCAGCTGATGGGTTTGAACCAGTGACCTTGTGGTTAACAGTTCAGTACTTATTCTACGGCACACCAGGACTCCATTCATAGCTGGTGGGATGGAAAATGGTACGGCTGCCGTGGAGAAGAGCTTGGTGGTTTCTCAAAAAGTTAAACATGAGATTACCATATTTGTTGCTAAGTGTTTTTGGGTCAGTTCTGACTCACAGTGACCCGATGCACAACACAACATTGCCCATTCCATTTGGCATGGCCCATTGGTACAGCTTCCATTTATGCTGTTGAAACAAGGTGTTTGCAGCAAATGAGTCATTGGTCTCGAATAATTCTATCATGTGATCTCCAGCATCATTTCTAGCACCAGGACCATATTTTCCAACTACCCATCCTTCCTCCTTGTTTATAATTTCTGCACTCCAATCACTCCAATTTCATCATTGGCTATAGTGGTTGGTCCTGAGATTTGAACAGTAAGTGATATTTACTGGTCTTTCTTGCAGGCATCT